AATAGGCAAAGTGGTGTGCGAGCGAGGTGAACGGTGGTGCATTGCTCCGGCCCTGGGGGCATTTATGTTTCCCTCCCTCACACGTACACAGACATGCACACTGTATTTCACTCAATAATGAGCTTCAGGACGCTGGCTTATCTCTGTCTTCCACTGCATTCACAATGACTTCCTCCCCTCCCCTCCAGCTCTTTTCCCTCCGCCAGTCTGTGTCAGTCTATAACGTAGCTTCTTAAAGCCGAGCTGAGCCGAGCCCTGTGCCACAGCTGCCAGGAGGAACTGCCTGACAGCTTATTGCCCCTAATCGCTCACTGGCGCCTGCTACCCATCGAAACATCTGCATGTCTCTGTGATCCATACACACTGCAGTGATATGTGATTAATCTGCTGATGTCCAGTATTGAGATAAAGTGAGACTGTGCTGAAGACAAAGGATGAGGGGAGCTGCATCTGAGCTCTATTGTCTAAGAGGGATTTGTTAACACAGGTTAGAAGAAAGAAAATAAAGGAATTATGGTCTCTGTCTTCTGCCAAGAAAGTTTGGTCGAGTTTGTGGCAAGTTTCCAGAATCCCACCGCTTGTGTTTGTCGGCTCTGGTTTGCTAGTAATCGTATAAACGTATGATTTTAACGACACCTATAGTTCATTGAGTGTTTCTCTGATCAGCCCGTGCTGTCCTAAGTTAGCCTCCTTCCCACTATATTTAGTCTTTCTTCCGAGGAACACATTTCAGCGGGTTTGCTGCAGTGCATTTATCCAAAATAGCGGTTTTCCTCTTTCCGTGGCTCCCTTTGAATCTCAAAGCAGTTCTGCAGCACAGATCCTGCGCCCGCCGTACATTCTGAAACAATAAGAGCGCTGGCTGTACCCCAGGGTAAGTTTGACTTCAGAGTGAATCAATAATGGAAGAGGAGATCCATGTATTATGAATGAAGAAACAACGTACGCTGGCACTGGCGCTTGTCTATTGCAAAGTGTTTATTCAATAAACAACTATCCCAACACTGGCGACAGGCTGAGAGGAAACACATTTAGCCTCATCTTTCCACAAATCCTGTGACTATCAGGACCGATATTGTCTCTTTGGCCTTGATCTTATTGTTTTTGCCGCGCGGTGCATTATCTAAGATGATACCGTAACTTTGCTGCAAAGTACAGCGCGCGCCCAGGAGGTAGGAGCACATTTCCCACAATCCTTTGGATTCATGCGTAAGGCCATCTTTTATGCAAGACCAAAAAATCACAGCTAGGACGCCGTGTTGTCACTTGACGGTGTAAAAATCACATCTGTGAGTGGAATGTAGCGCGTCGGCTGGCATGTGGTCCCGTTATGTAAGTGTTGCTCAGGTGAGAGAGCTGTTTCAGAAACGCTTGTGTTTACATTGACAGTTTATTTCTCAAGTGCTGGCATTGATTCCAGCGTTCCTACATTGCGTTTCACTGATCTGGTGTATCGGTAGCCAAGGACGGGATGTAAATAGTTTGAGTCACTCATGTAATCTACCCATGAACAATGATCTGCCCGCCTCCCGCTGAGCTGAACACACAGCACGAGGTGGTGAGAGATTTTTCTTTTTCAAGGTAAATGATTCAGATGAATTGACGTATAGTGCACAAAGTTTATGGTAATTTGCACGGACATGTTCCTAAATGCAGATCGTAAGTAAAGCAGCCAATTGGCACGCAGTCGCTCTTCCTGATGTCATTCTATACACTGAGCTCAGTCGTGTTTGCTCACCTGCAGCTATTCAATGCTCGTATTACGGGATAACGTGTGAATGTTCTCCTTCGTATTTAGCTCGATATGATCAGTCAGTGATTAAATAAGACTCTCCGGCACAGTTTTTGAAAGATTTTCCCCCAGTTAATGAATCATCTGAGTTTTCTGTTTGATGGTTTGGGAGTGAGTTTAGCTTCAGGGCGACTGTGATCTCTGATAAACCAACCAGTCATCAACAGGTCCAATTACAAGGTAAAGGTACAACAGTCAAGCAGCACAGGTTCCACGGGTCGCCACCGATGACGGCTCTTTGAAAAGCAAGCTCATCGATAAACACAACCTCAGGACCTGAACGTTGAGAGCGGAGCCCGGCTCATGTTTCAGCGGCGATATCGGGTTTGCACAGATATATGTCGTATATGTCGTCCAACAATGTGACTTCCTTTTTTATTTATTTAAAAAACAATATATATAAATTGAATATAATGCAGCTCCAACTGTCAGTACCGTCTGCAGCGCATGCAGCAGAGTACGTCACAGCTGAGCAGACAGTGAAGATGCTAGAAAGTTAATAAACAATGGCCCAACCTTTTCCCTTTCAGTGTTGCTCTCTGTGCTTGTATATATAAGCAAAGAATATCGGCCGACACGTCGATATGAGAAGTTTTTACTCCCTAAAAATTGGTATCAGCACCAGATCCAAACTTCAATATTGGTCGAGCTTTAATTGAGAGGTTAATGTTTGGTAGGGAGCATTTTAAACTGTTTGCTCTGTAAACAACGAGCTCAGTTGCTGCTTTCACAGTCGTTTTTTTGCCTCATCACTGTTTTTTTGGACTGAGGAGCAAACAGCTTCAGAATCAGGATGTTCTACTCTGTCCTTAGAATACATTTCTGTGTGCACATCCGATCACAGTGCCACAACTTTTCCATGAAGTCATCTGCTGTTATCTGCTAGTTGTGTAGTAATTATTCATGCTTCATAATCAAGTGGTCCCTGGTTTGAAAAGTGAACCGCTGCAGTGTCATCCTTCATGTTGCATGAAAAATGCATGAATAGCGAATTGACGGTCGGTCAGTCAGAGCTCTCAGGCAGTTCGCAAACAGCTTCACTGTGCTGCTGCCTCGAACAATACAGTTCCTCTGTCACGCCCTTCCACTTTCCCACATCAAATTCCTTCCTTACAAAGCAATGTGTTGATACCCGGGGAGGGGCTGATTTCACACTCTTTTACTCTCAGGGTAAGACGGATGTTGTAGTTCCTCGAGTTCAGCTCTGTCGTTGCTTTAACAGACGACCTGCTGTATGGTGTATCTGTACGTAGTGTCATAAACGCAACAGAACTCCTCCTGTTGTGATTCCTGCTGAATTTGTGCCTCAGCGGCTGCAGTAAGTTGTGGTTGTTTGCTGGTTTGCAAATGAGCCAGTCAGTCATCGTGTGGGCAGGCACCAAAGCTCACAAGTCAGCTTTTCATTCAACCAAACAGCGACGGCTTTTTCACTAAGAGAGCAGCTTGAAGTAATCAAAGCGTGAAATGACATCCAAAGCTGTGGATTGGGGTAAACACTGGTTTTTATATATAAAATAAAAAAATAAATAAAGCTCAGTTCTATGACAAGTCTGAAGAGATGTGATTCGTTTTTATTACCATGGCGTTTTGCTTTATTTTTAGCACTTTAAATATGAGGAAGGAGGTGTTATTTGCAGTTGAGCCGAGGCCTAATTTTGCCAGACCGGTCATACTAGAGTTTGGCACAAATGTATGAGAGCGGCGTTTAGTTATTCACATCAGTCAGGGAATGATTCAAATTGAAACTAGGCCTGCTTACTGTATTATTCATGGTCGAATGATGAAAATAGCAGCCGGTGTCGATAAAAACTAATCTTTATTGGCACGTAGCTGGGTCGGCTTGTTTGCCTTTGATCAATAACAGACAGACGGATGACTTGTAGTTCGGATACGATGGAAATCCTTCGTGAAGCAAACACTTCGACCGGCGCATTGCTTAGATTCTGTTTGCGTTCGGTTCGGGGTTAAGCTCGTGCGGTAACAACGGGACCTGCTCGTTTGTTTTAGCTTCTCCTTCTGGATTACTCGTTAATTATATTCATTTCAGTCCCAATTGGGTTCCTCCCCTTGAACAATACCAGCCGTAACAATAAAAGAACAAAAGAGGCCGGCTCCTGTTGTTGAGGTTGTGTGTGTGTTTTGTGTATTCCTGGGTACTCGGAGAAACAAAAAACAAAAGCCCAGATATTTGCTGCCAAATACCACCTGAAATCAGACACGGGGGCTAATGCGGCGGATGATTTGTGGCTACGTCTCTTAGGCGTGCAGACGAGATGGCCTATGTACTTAGGGCTATATCTGTCCCTCTCCCTTTCTCTCTCATTAATCATGCAGGATCCATAGATAATGGATGGTGCGCATGGTGTCTCTAGCCTTTCACTGCTTACCGGCCAGACGGATCTGTTAACATGACCTATATACATCGGCAGGCCATTGTGTTTTCAGACACGCGTCGCTTTGTGTGACTTTAAACAAACACGAAAGAGGGGGGCTTAGCGGGACGAGAGTCACCTTTTTCCACTTTTATCTTTAATGATGAATTAGTTCTGAGTCTGCTGTGCATTTCCTGCATTTGCATTTGTTAAAGAAAGACCAAAAGGCAGACTTTAGAGGGGAAATGAAGGAATAAATCTGCAATTACTCAGTGTGTTTTGCGGTGACAGCGACGAACAGCCCAACAGCACGGGACGCGTAGATCTTCACCAGCATCAAACATCATCCTTGAGTCGTCATTGTACATGCAGACCTACACACACCTTAACGTCAGGCGATGAGAGTCAGACATCACTGCACAAGGTTAGCCGTGCTCGCTGTCGTTACAGCGGCGGAGAGCCTTGGGATAACGAAATCCAGTCAGAGAGGTTTCCATTGTTCTCTTCCTGATTCAGTCAATCTCACTATTGACAGGAGTAAAGCCTCTTTGCGGTGCCATTTAGAGACATTAAGAGATGAAATGCAGTCTCAAACACCCACTCTAAGCCCTCTAACCCAGCGTGACTACGACCTGGCGAGCAGAATGTGCCATCCAGAATGAATGTTGAAATGTTTTTCAGAGATGGATGCATTTTAGGTTAGTTTTTACTTTAAGAAGCGATTTATTGCTGCTCAGTGGACCATGCCTTTGTTTACTACTTCACATGTAAATGAAACCCATAAACACATCCAGATCACAGCATTCCTGCTCATGTTTGCACCTCTCCACGTGCAGGTTAACTTTGTGGCATGTCAGCTGTTCGCCCTGCTGATGGCTGTGTGGTTTCGGCTCTACCTCCACCCCAGTAAGACCAGTCCCTTCATCAGACATGTGGTGGCCACTCTGCTGGGCTTCTACTTGGCTCTCTTCTGTTTTGGCTGGTGAGTCACCCCTCTATTTATTCTGCTGCTCTCTTCTTGTCATCACTGTCCTTTTTATCTCAGCTCCTTCCTTCCTTCCTTCCTCACAATTTCTTTCTACAGTATTATGTTAGCAGCATTGTTTTCCTGCAGACTGCGGCCCAGTTTCACAACATCATGAATGCATTTGCTTCTGGATTCTTGGAAAGTCGGGATCACGGTGATCTTTAACTCATTAGTTTGCAAATTTAAATAAGTCACTTTAATATATGAGGCAATTAACACTCAATGGGTGAAAAACAGCAGGGTGATAACATGTCCGACACACTTCCTGTTCTTGCCTTGGTATTGCTGCAAAGCTAAACATTCAGTAGAAGCAGCGAACACAGCCGTTATGTACATGATGGGAGATGGGAACGATGCTCCACATGATCCTAATGTGTGATAATGTACATGCACTGGGCAGGAGACTTTGTCATGGTGTCCATTTATGAGATATCTCTCCGACAGAATATGAAATTATTCGGATCAGATCAGGGGCAAAAAAGAAAAACTTTTATCCCTATTTGAGAGGATAGTGTTATTGTCATGGTTCAGTTATTGATATATGAAATGTTATGCTATAATTAAAAGGCCACCTCTGCGATAGTCGTTTCTATTTTCCTACATTTCCCACAATCCTTGTTCATAAACCCCAGAGTGATGTAGCTGACAGTGTTTTTGACTAAATTAACTTTTAGCCTGTGCATACTTCTTTTAACATGTAGGTTTATCCTTTAGAGGAGTGAAACGTCTGGACTGTATGAAGTGAACAGAAGAAACTGAACAACACATTAATTATCTCCTATCCTGTTAACATGCTGGATCCCTACATGCATTTTACCAACTTCTGAATGTTTCAGCTTCAGTTTAAGGCTAGATTTTCCTTTGAAGGCTTCGATGAAAAGAGCTGTTTCAACACTATTTACTTGTGTTGTTGATAATGGTCAATAAAAGGTTTGATATTAAAAGAGCGCTTCATTCATTATCTGTTTTTATTTCTGAATCTGTCTTCGCTGCTTGTCATTCATCTCTCTCTCTCGTTATCACTCTACATCTTTTCGCTTGACTGCTTTTTGTCCGCCATCATCCTTGTTCTCCCTCCTCCCCTCGCCTCCGCAGCCCTTCCCCTCTTCACCCCAGCCTCATTCTCTTCATCCTTGCCAAAGCAAATGGGTCGATCGGATAGTAACTGATATCCAATTAGAAAGCGATTGCCCCGTAATAGACAACCCACTGTACCTCTGGCACGGCGCCTCTCAGAGTGTTGCTGTGTGTTTGTGTGTGCGCACACAAGAGCAAACATTAGGAAACATTAGCCGGAGATCCAGCCATCGGAGGCTAGCAGGGGAAAATTCTGACCAGAATCAGTGCTACCTGCTCATCACGGAGGCCTCGCTTCACCTCGCCGACGCGTGGTTCATGTTGCAGGACTCAGCCGACACCGAGCTGCTCGGTATCATTTGTTGTGGACACGTAGGAGAGGTAGTGTAGCTGATTGCTGAATCAGACGCAGGACTCTCTTCTCGTCAGTGTCGCCTCACAGTGACTCACACCGCTAAAGCAAAGCATGCACTGATAAATAAAGCAAATCTGTCATCTTTCAGAGCATATTTACTTTAAAAAGGGGAGTTTGCTGTCGGGCTCCATGTGAATCGATGTCACCACGGGTTTCCATATGACTAATATGTTTTGCTTTATTAAGATAATCCTCAGAAAACTGGCATCATATCTAATGCTGCACATTTTTCAGTGTTTTGTTTCCTTTTTGTCCCATTTATTTTTAAAATAAAACATTGTTTAACATGAAAAAAGGGGTCTGGATCTCCATAAACAAGTTCATGAAAGGCTAATTTCTGCAGAACATGTCACCACATCGTAACCACAACTTGGCAAATCAGTAAATGTACAGTAGGCGCTCAGGAAATGAGGAACTGAAACATGAAATTACTCAGACAGCGCGTGTAAAATGAGTGTGCTGAGCAGCGAACGGGTATATTTGGTAACAAAACAAGTACTGTACAATATTCCCGTACGCCAGAAGGAAACAAAAACGGAAGAAAGACAGAAAGACAAAATAGGACAAACATTTGGAGTTTAACAAATGTGAAATGAGTCAAGATGATGTCAGACTTTGTTCTCTGCGTTTGGCCAACGGTCTATTTCTGTCCAAATGGAACAAACGATCAATATGTGAAGTTTAAATCTGTGAAAGTCCACACAAGCGTTTTATTTTCTGCAGTAATTAGTAAGTAATTAAAAGACCATAAGCCCATGTAAACGTCTGTAAGCAGATCCATTTTACAGAGGCGATATATCATGTTTAGTGTACAAGGCCCCACTGGTCCAAGTTAAGCATTTTAGTCTGAATTATGCAATAATTACAGGATTAAAAGTGTTCTAATCACTTAACTTTCTGATTTTACAATAGATTCAACAACACAGAGACCAGCTGAGATTATTTAATAAACTTGCCAAATGGAGTAAGGCTGCAAAACTCGTCTAATGCACAGATGCATCCATGCACATGCCTTTATTAACACACATGCATGCTACTACAAACTTGTATTGTGCACACACACACACACACACACACACACAGTGTTCTTAGAGGACACCTGGCTGTCGGTCCTGGAGGAGCTTCCCTCCAGATGCTGCAGAGTTTATTTTAGGATGTATTCCCGCTCTGTCAGACACACACAAGCTTGTTTCTGAATGTCACTGGAGAAAACAATTGGAGAGTTGACTTCAGACGAGGACAAACAGATTTTCATGTGTGTTTAATGTATTCTAGGAGTCACAGCGTCTCTTTGTGCAGGAATTCTCCAAAACATTTCTCCCTCCTCCTCATCCCGAGACATCACAGCAGTCTTAACTTTTTATTTGCCGGACGGTCGATTCCACTCACCCACCCTGATGCTCCCATGTTTCCTGCCAACACTTGATGCCCTTGTCCTCTTTGTTGACTCACTGCTAACACAATGTGGCATCTTTCCCCTCCTGGAGGGTTTGACGTCGGTCGGATCACACGCTGCGCCCTTGAAAGGCCCGTCCCGGAGCTTCTGCTGCCTGTAGGAAGGCAGGTGCTGCTCATATGGCCGAGTTTGATTAACACACACGTGCATAGATTTACTGCGATGGTGCGATATTACTAATCCTGCAGCTGGAAGGCACGGGAATCAATTAAGAAGACGGTGTGATTGTGATTGTCGTTATCCTGCCCTGTGACTGGAGATGACAAATTAGTGGTTGCAAAGGTCCAGCCTCACATGGCTGATAGTGTGACTGTGGTTTTGTAATGCTGTAATTTCCTCTTACTAATATGAGTATGGGATGACAAAGCAGGATGTGGATAGCAATACCAAGAACAAATAGAGTCTAATATAGTCCAGTATGAGGAAGGGCTTTTTGTCTCAGAAAGAAAACATTTTCCAGTAAATATTAAAGGCTTCATGTTGTGTTTTCTGGCTTTACTTTAGTGTGTTGTGCCACTTTTTTGTGCATCAAGCTTACAAAGTCCACACCAAAAGGAGTTGTGGGAGTTATTCCCTCCACCCAACTCCAGGTTTTTCTTCTGTTACTTATTGATGTCAGCGCGTCACACGACCCAGCGGACCCTCAAATGAAGAATTAGCAGCTGCCTCCCAGTCCGCCACTATATCCTCACTACAGCTGCTTCTGCTGGAGGTATGCTTCCGTTCTCATAGATCTGGATTTACTATCTTACCAATGGTGCCTTGCTTCCACTGGGACAGCAGAGCAGACTAAACTTTTCAGGAGAGGTGGTCTTAAAGAGACAGGAGCTAAAAAATGGTGCGTTTCAGATAGACGGTGAGAAGAAGTGCTGCAGCAGCAACGTACAATATGAGACAAAAAATGTGTTTTTGGACCATTAAAGTTTTATTTAACTCCTAAAAATGTGTCTCTGCTCATCAAAGTTATTAACCTAGAGGCCTTTCTCCATTAAAATCATCCTTTCCTGCCTTAAAACTACTTAGATGTAACTTCACGCTGTTGCCTTCTCTAGAATTCACAGATCTACATCCTTCCTCCTTCTCTCCTCACCCACGCCTTCACCGCTTACAGCAGCTCGAGCACACCAGCTCACCAACAACCCTGCAACACTTTGTGCTCCACGATGACAACCTGTAACGTTGGACTAATTTACCAAACCTGATTCTCAAGGTTAATAATAATAATACAGAAAGCCCCGCCTCCTGTAAGCTGATTGGTTGCTCATGTTTGTGACATATGAAACCCAGGAAGTCTGAATCTGTGTTTTTGAGACGGCTGTTTGTACGCTGCAGTCTCAGGGTGGAAAGGCTCTGCCGTGGTGTCGACTGGATATTTCACTCATGATATGTTCAAGGTTCAAGGTCCAAAGTTGCTTTATGGGTAGATTTGCTTTGCAGAATATAATATCTTCCTGTAAACAGACATAATACGGGCTCTTTAAACCATGAAACCATATCAGCACAAATGTGGAGTTTCTTATCATGAACGGTGTTTGTCTCTCCACAGGTATTCCCTCCATTTCCTGGTACAGAGCGGCTTGTCCTACAGTGTGATGGTCTTCGCCGGCCTGGAGCACATGCACAAGTAAGAGCAGAAACACATTTCAGATATTTATGAGGTTTTTTTTTTTACATGACCACAGACTTTTTTGATCCCCGAATCTTGTCAGCTGTTTGATCAGATGTTGGCTCGTGTTAAAGCTTCATAGCGGCTCACTTTTTAAAAATTTATCTCCTGTGTGTGGCTTCATTTGTTTGTGTGTATTTTTGAAGCGTAGAAGGCCGGGTCACGATGACACTGATTCTGCCCCCAGGCTTCCATCTGTGACCGTGGCTCATCAACACAACCACACACACACAGAACCACACACACACACACACACACACACACACACACACACACACACACACACAAACACACACACACACACACAGATCTATTGTCACGTCGTCTTAGATGTTATTTTTTGCCAGAATTCAAGGTTATGAGTGCAGGTGTGTTGGTTTCCCCCTGGGGAGAGGACTCTAAATAGATGCTAAGAAAACATTCATCACAACAGCTACTGCTCTCAGAGGACTCGACGCTCAATGACAGACTGAAAATGACAGCTTTGGTTAACTAGACGGATGTGACATCCTGACATCCTGCCACGTCTTCCGTCATATTTCCTCGAAGTTTAAAACAGCGGTATTGTCCTTGAGCCCGTTGTGCCGTCTGTTTGTTGGAGGTATGAGCAGTATCCGCTCTGAAACTGAAAGGTGGTGGCTCTCGCCCAAACCGACACACCTTCACTGCATTCAGAGGTAAAGTTCACGCAGGTGTCAGATGACGGTGCAGCTCGAGGGCAGGGAACCACTATAGAGACGGGACGTACCGACATGTTCGTGTTTGCTCAGGCCGTTGAACCTACTGCCCCAGATTTTTGCATAACAAATGAGGTATTATCACCGCATCGGCCTGAAATTTAACTCAGTGGTTTTGCTGCCAGCGTTTGGCCTTTGGCCTGAGTTACCTTTAACCTGCTTTCATAGATACTCATCTTTTATTGAATCTCTTTTAACATTTACAATGATTTGTTGGTTTGGGAACCTCAGCATTAAAAATAAGAGCAGGATGAAGAATGTGGTCAAACTCTGCCAAAAAACAATTGGCACTAGCCTGAGTGACCTTGATCATGTCTACCAAACTAGAGCCACTCAGAGGGCAGGAGCCATTCTGGCCAATCCTCTCCACCCTCTTCATGCAGAGTTTCGACTCCTCCCATCTAAGAGGAGGTATTCGTTCCCTTGTCAGGCGAAATCAAATAGATATTTAAAATCCTTTGTCCCGTCTGCCATCAGATTTCTTAATATGCTGTAGGTGAACGTGTTGGGGATAATATACTGTATTGTAATTTATGATGACCATGTATGTATGTATGTTTGTATAATTTGTATTATCATGTGTGCCATGTGAGATTTTACTGTGTGATTCTAACTTTTGCTGCAAACCAAATTGCCCTCCGGGGACATTAAAGATTTTCAAAGTTCAAAGTAGATAGTCTATCAAATATTGAATACAAGTAGGCCATTAGTGAAACGTCCACCTCATTCTTCAACATATGCACTCTGTAAATGTCGTCTCTGTACATTTTTACTGCTGGAAAAAATCTTCCCTCTGCAACACTTCAAACTGATCAACACAAAAAGTACATTTTCCATTCCAGTGTCCATCTACAGCGACTTTACAACCTTCTTTGTACCACCGACCGGTTTCAAGCAAGACGATTTTCCCTGAACCGGTCACTGCACACATAACAAATCATAAGATTTTGTTCTCTTAAAAAAAGCGTCATAAACAAATAAAGTTGCTTTTTGTTGCTAAATACAGTATGGACTTACTTTTTCTTCTGTCTCAGCGTTGAGTCTCTTTTGAAGAAGCTCGCCAGAGAAATTAGTTTTTTTAAATTAATTTTGGTGGTTGTTAGACCGACAGCTTCAAGTGTGGGGAAACAAGGAAGATGACGGGAGACGAGCTAGTCATTTTTCAAAATAAAACACCCTACAAACTCCGTTGGAAATCAAATAAACCAATATACTTATTCTTTCTGTGCGGCCTGGTACCGGTCCACGCCCCGCTGCTTTAGGATGAGCCTCACATTTCTCTTGGTTCTTCTGCGTTTTCTTTATATCTTTGTTTTTCTCCTCCTCTGACACGCCTGTCTGACAGCTGTTTATATCACACCATCTCATTTATATGCTGTGAACTTTGTGACAGTGTCTGTAATGATTGATCGGGCTCGTGGTGTCGCTGGGAGCTTTCTAGTTTCGCTTCGGCTTTTGTGTCGGGCAGGCGGGGGCAAAATCAATATAACTAATGAATCCATACATAAAAACATTGCTGATTTCGCCCTGCCAAGTGTTTACAGTCCGTCTGGCAGCCTTCCTTTCAGTTCCTCTGTGCCGCCGACAGACAGCTGGTTCTGAGACGCCGAACAGAGGGCGGAGTCGCCGACCGAACAGATCAAACGCTTCAGTAGCACTTCCATATTTCTCACTTTTTTCTGTAGATTCCCGATGAGGCAAACTTTGCAGACAAACTCCGTACAGTCGACCATTCCCAAAAGCAAATGGCAGGACCTGTGTTCTCTATTTCGGTGCTTCCACTCAGACACCCAGCCCCAGGGGTGAAGTGTACAGTGAGTGCAGTATGACAGCTTTATGGAGCTGCAAAAAGCTTTTTTTTTCTCTCTCTCTCTCTGTCTGTTTACTATGGGAATGGCTGTGAATGTGGACCCGGCGTAGGTCCGGCCTGCAGACTGACTAGAAGCTCTTTATTCGGCGGACAGGCATCATATTTCACAGCATTCACCAGATTCTGTGCCTCTCCCAGTCCCTCGCTCTTCTTTGACAGTTCACCTGTTGGAGAGGGTGAGCGGACCGGGAATGTTCTGGATGCCTCCTGAGTGGGAACACAGCACTGCCTGCTGGCTCAGCAGAGACACAGGGAACCATGAAGACGTACGGTGGGACCAGTACGATGGGACCAGTACGATGGGACCAGTACGATGGGCTGCTACAGTCATGCAGGCTTCCTGTTTAGTTAACAGAACCCTAAGAATATATTCAGACCGCTGAAGAGATCTGATAAGAATCGCTGTCAGGCTCGATCTGTCATGCATCAAGCTTCCTCTTTTTAAGCAATCACTGTATTTAATTCACTTAATTTTGTTTTGGAGGATTGATAAAGAGAACGTACACCACGGCAATCAGTGTGTTCAATTAGATCTTTTTATTTGTTGCTTATTTTATGTTTTATTGGTTTCAAAAGGTAAAGAACTGTTTATGAAACTGTTCTGGTTAAAGATTTAATTCTGCCATTTAATTAGAATGTGTGTTAGTTATGGTGAGAAAGCATGACTGTGAGCCTGATGGTGATATACCTGCGAATTACCGCCTCACAGTTGCATACTGAACAGATGGAAATTTCCTCTGGATCTGCGTATGCAAGAGGTGCGCCTGGAGGCATTTACTACGTGTTCACAACCCGAGGTCCTGTGGAGACGTTTATTTATAGCCTGTTTGCACCTCTCGGCGTACAGCGAGCATCCGTACCTGTGGCTGCTGTGTCTGCACGCTGACCTGTCTGCTGCCGTCCCACAGTGGGAGGCCGGCCCTGCTTCAGTCCCGGGCTCCAGCCGGTGCCTTTGAGTGGAAATGAAACGCCCCCCTCTGAGCTGTGAATTACACAAACACAAATCAGATGATGATAAAGACAAGATCCCCGTCGGGCTCACTGCAAATATAGCTGGTGCGGCGCGTATAGCTCATATCCTCGCTGATAGCTGCAGTTGTGCGCTTCCAGAGCAGAGAGTCCATCCTGGTGAAGACGTTGGTCGAGTCGTAGTGCTGATGTGTGCATTGTCAGCCATCTTTTCTACTCTTATAGTATAATGTTTGCCAGCATATGTTGGTTTTAAATGCATCATTTTGCCAGAATTTTACCTCCATGTGCTCGTTTGGAGATCGATAAATTGAGCTGGAATGGGATGTTGTCACTTCCTGTCAAATTCAGTAAAAGCCTGTTGAAAGCTGGTGAAACAGAACAATGCAGCTTACACTTACCCGTCAGTAAAGCTGTTTTACTCACCTCTGTTTTTGCTTTGTGTGGTTTAAATGATTTTCCTTCTACAGTTAATTGGTGATTCGAAATTGGTGTAAATATGAGCACAAATGGTGGCTATTTTCTCTGTTAGCCCTGTGATGAACCCGGTTGTATCTGATCTGTCAGCCAGAGTTGGGTGGGACAGGGACCCTCTAAGGTTGCATTACCTCGTAGCTCTGTGTATTAATGTGTATTATTGCAAGTCAAACTCTATTCATTCTGGTGGAAACCTTTACGGTCGCTCACCGTGTGTTTATGAAACTCCTCTATTTTCTGGTCCGGAGTTTCCCAGGTGTACGTTGAAATGTTTAAGCTTTTGAACACCAGGGGGCGTAGTCCAGATTATGTATAAAATTACGGACGTCAAACAAAGTTGTGTGAAAACAAGGCGTAAAGTCGCGGTTGTATCTGGGGTCCAGAAAGGTCTGAGTGATGTACATGTTGTCGTCTGCCAAGTCTGAGAGTCTGTGCGGGCTTATGTACGGACGTCCCAACACTCGTTACCGTGTTGGACCTACGCTACAAGACCCAACAGCGCCATGCTTGGTGGGAGTGTGCATATGCAGAATACACATTTGTGCAACACATCCTTCAGGCGGACTTGGAAGTATTTAGTATAATAAGAACAGGAGAAGCCAGGGGCCAGTTCATAAACAAATATTTGTCTCGTGAAAGGAATGAACAATAAAGGCCCGTAACTCATCTTTCTTTGACATTATTATTTTCAAATTAACTGAGTAACAGCCGAGGGGACGTTACTGAACCTTCACTACAGAAGAAAACAGACCAAACACTCCACACTGTCTTCTCATTGTGGAGAGAATCTTAATTTAGAATTAGAAGATGGTCGGCGGGCCAGGTGGAACCCTATCGTAGGCCTGATTTATATACGTTGAGTATCACTGTGTCACTCCGGTTTGGTGTGTTTTAAGTGTATTGGAGAGAGTTGTACCCAAAAAGAAGACATCTGTGAACAAGACTAGTAGAGTCACCTGAGTCTTGGTTCTTGTGCTTCAGTGCTGAAAACAGATCCAAAATGGTGCCACTCAAGTTGGTTAGCTTTTGGTTCTTGGTTGTCCTGGATAAACAAGACTGTATGAGGTGTGTGAAAAAAGTTCCAGTGTCACGAAAGATATAATTCAAATCCAAACTACCAGTCGTAGTCGTAGTAATCCCCCTGGAGTCTAACACCCTTCCCCAGCCTTCTGTGCCACAACGCCATGCACTCCTGGAAGGATTCATCCAGGATCCTCTGTCGTCACAGCCATCTTGATGTCGTCCACGTCTTCTAAACGGGTCTCCTTGATGACCCCCTTGAGCTTGGGGAAGAGGAAACAACCCCATGGAGCCAGGTGGGGTGAGTAGGGAGGTTGCACGGAGATGTTCTTCTCAGCCAGGAACTGTCGCCAACTGTTGAAGCCACGACTCGTCCTGCCACAACTCTCTCTTCGTCTCGCTGCAGGATCTCTTTGGTTGATCATCTGAAGGGGAAAACTCGTAGTTTATAGTTTGGGTTTGAAGTCTATCTTTTGAGACACCAGTCCTGGAACTTTTCTGACACACCTCGTAGTTTAATTCTGTATTTTACCAAGAAACCGATCAACCACGGTTGGACCTTGTGACATTTAAACAGCGGTGTATTTGGGCTTTTTTTTTAGAATCAAATCACAAGTGCACCAGAAGATTTGAGACGGCATGAAGAAGTCTTTTGTTCTACATTTGTTCTGGAAATGTTTGATGTTTCTTTAGAAAGGCCACGGTGGATAATGTAAGCTAAATACCGTTTAGGTTATCCGGTGTATAAAGCTCCAGGAAACTGTGCATTTTAAAGAAAAAAACTGAATTCCTCACCATGAAGCAGACATTGTAAGTCGTGTTACTGAATGTATCCATGCAGCACATTTAAATGAGCACCGGTGCTGCACGGCTCGTGTGGGAATAGAAACGCCGTCGCGAGGAGCCGCGTAGCCCCCATATGTGCAGGATGCTGAGGAGTATTGTGTAAACTGTTGTGCCCTCTGATAAAATGCCACGTGTGGGTTGTATGCAAACACAAGAAATCTCAGAGCACATAAAAGGACTGTATAATAATTATCTCCTGTTTACAGTGCTGCCGCTGCCTCCTCTGAGGGTTTGGGGATTAATAGCAGCGTCTAATCTCAGGATGGGTTTTGGAGAGAAAGCTCCGAATGCTTCACTTTATTTGGTTTTTCTAAATGCTCGGCGGCGGAGATCAGGTGATGTCACATACAGAAGCCTCTCAGAATCAAGAGGTCCCGTTGTGTCTTATCTCCAGCGCGGCCTCGGTCTAGATGGTGTGTTCCTCCTCAGAGCAGCACAATCCTCTTATTGTTGGCAGCGGAGGGATGCTATCTAGCTAGCTTTGACTTGGGCTGACTCTGCAGCAGCTTTGTACCACCAGCTCTAGCGCTGCTCCGTCTCTGGCCTTCTGTTAAAAGGTCGTGTTGTCCTCTGTCTTCCTCCACTGACAGTGACACATTATTGGAGCCTTTTCTGCCCTTTTGTTCAGTTTTTTGACCCCTACCCCGTTCTGTAGTTGTGGCCTGTTGCTGACGCCACTTTCTTTTGTGCTGTATTTTTTGAAAAAAAATCCTCAACACTGCCACAGAGATGCAGACAAAGGGTCTATGTTCTGTGCTTAGAGCTGTAAAATTAAAGCTTTACATCATGTGTACGAAGGTGCTGCCGTCTGAAAGCACCACACTGCTGTGATGATTAATAATTGAGAACAAATACACCAACATTTCTGTTTTTTGGTGTGTCAGCTGCTTTTGACGATGACTTTTCTGTACTTTCAGGTGATATTTAGATGCTCATTTTTTGTCCCCTTTTCCTTCCTTTCTCCGTGCAGGTACTGCTTCATAGTGACACTCGGCTACCTGATACTGTGTCAGATCACACGAGTCTACGTGTTCGACTACGGCATGTACTCTGCAGACTTTACAGGGTAAGTTACTCTCACACTACACAGCTTTTTAATTTCTTATTTCATAATTGAAGACCCTCCGTGGTTGATTTTACATCTCATGTGTAGAACAACTGATGCTAAAACGAGAAACGATTAGTAAGAATATTAGTTGTGACTCCAGCAGCTAAACAGAAACCAGAGCGTGTCGCAGCGATCAGCTGTGTCCGCAGGAGGACGTCGATAGGAACCGTAGCTCCTTGCGGTTGGTTCCCACTCCTCCAGACTGTCTGACAATTCAAGCAGACAGCCTGTACTCCCACCAGGGTGGGGGTGGCCAGTTGCTAAGCAACCCAATGCAAACCCATACTGCCTCTGTGAGGGCAGAGATTTCACTCCTTCAGCTACGTCTGCTGTCCCTCTGTTTTTCTTGAAAATGTCAAATTCACATGTTTTTCTAAATGTCAGCGTGACCCTTATAACCAGCTGTGCTCTAATCTAAAAAAAAATTCCTCCCAGTACGTAAAAGCAGATTTATTTAAAAGCAAATAATCTCCATCCTGCACCTTGTTCTCGACTCCGTGGCTGAACTTGATGTTGCCACCAGCAGGTTTCTTGTGTAAAATGAATCAAGAAGCAGCAGCTGCTGATGCAAGCATCAATAGAAAGTTGTATTTATCTAAATGCAGCTAAACCACATGAGAGCAGCAATGGTATTCATATCCTGCTTTGATAGAAAAAGATTTCATTAAATCAGGATTAAGAGGTCTGAGCAGCATAGCTCTGGTTTGGGATCTACGGAATAGAGAAGAGGAACAACAAAAATGCTACAGGAAGTTAAAAAAAACAAAACAGCCTGTAATTATGCCAGAGGAGGAAACTTCCCATTGTGAAGATATGACGACTGCAGCGGGTTCAGCTATGAGCAGATAAACCGGCATCGAAGCCCATCTGTGGACAACAGCATCAAAAACAATACATGTTGAATAAATAGCAGTTTAACAGGACAGCAGTTTCCTTAAGTAAGCTCAAACAAACAATGTTTAACTAATTGTTTAAGTAAAGGTTGGAAAAATATTGACTGAAAAACGTGTGATGAGTTAAATGTGTGTTTCTCCTGTTTGCTCTTATCAGGCCCATGATGGTTATAACACAGAAGATTACCAGCTTGGCATTTGAAATCCATGATGGTAAGACAAGTCAGAGTGTCTTCAAAGCTCATGTGTTTGGAAAAAAAGCAAAAAACAAAAGTGGCAGACGTGACAGAAGTGAAAATGTCAGTTCAATTCTCTTTGGAGTTTAAAAACAGATCACATGGCCACGTTTCTGAGCCAGTAGTCAGTTCTGACAACTGACTAGTGAACCAGAAAGAGAGCATAAACAGAGTTATGTAATGGAGCAATGATCAAGTGTGCTCTCTCTCCCCTCCTCCCTCTCCCTGTGTAACAGTTTAGTGTTTCGCTTTTAACTCGAACCGAGCGGCATACTGTTCAAATCTGAGCCCAACATTTCAGCCATTTATTAGCGCACGCACAAATCAAGCCAGGACTTGTAAAAAGGTGTTCCTGTGCCATGAAATCGCTGCAGACTTTCTGACTTTTAAAGGCAGAGCAGCTCCAGTGGGCGTGCACGAGGTCCACTTTGTCTTGACCCGGATTTGACGCTTTCTCGGCTTTTCGAGACGGACGGATTTCGCCGCCGCGCGCGCTAACGAGGACTAAATAAAGATGGAGAATTGACATCAAGGTTCAAATAAGCAAGTGTGATCAAGTATCAGAGAGGCTTAGAGATTAAGAGGGTGATGAGTCACTCACAGCTTTTTAGCTCCCACTTGGAGTCTTAAGTCCCGTCAGGATGTTCCAGACTGAACGGTGGAGTAATGACAGTCTGCGTGCTGGTAGGGGTAGTATTTAAATTCTGTTCATGCCACTGTTTCTCCTCGCAACTGTGCTTCTAATGGGAATCCAGGACCGTAATCTCCATCCTCATAGAGCCGCTGATACCTGCCTGTTGTGGAGGCGCTCACACGTGCTCGCTGCTCAGCTTTTTAGCATTTTAAGGTACATATAGGGGAGCTTTTTTTGCTCATTTTTACTTTGTTTTTGTAGTGCAATATAAAGTCCTGCATGTCTGTAGAAACAACACAAGCATGGCTAAAAGTAGAGATGATTTAAAAATGTCATTTGTACAGTACGAAACAATTAGAATTATAAAATAAGAGAAACACAAGAATTGAAATAAAAAAGGTATCGACATTTTCCCAAGTAGAAAAAACTCCAGATGCTAGATGCTATAGATTCCTTACTACTGACATTTTCATCTGTTTTCATGCTCGTCTGCTTCATTTAAACACAGCCTGCATTTCAATCTAGTGCAGCGAAAAGTCCCACAATTTTTATCACGTGATTGTCAATTGCAGACTTCACGGCTGCCCTACGGAGCAGAATGTGGTTTGTGCAAGTGGTTTATTTTACTCTAACACATAACGGTGAAATAATAATTAATGAATCTTAGATGTTTAATACAACACATCACAGAGGAGTAGTTTAAGGACAATTCTTGTTTATTGTACAACTTCTGCTCTAATAAATGGAGTCATTTTGGTGTTTTTTTTTAAGAGACAGCGTGACTTTCCAACACACCAGAGGGTTTAGGGGATCAGAGGGTGAAAGGCAGAATGAATCAGCCTCAGCGTTCACCTTTTTTTTGGGGGGATTAGAGGTTGAGTTCAGGTCAGAGGAGCAGCGGAATTTGACTAAACATAGCCTTGCACAATGACCTGTTTGCTCTTGTGCTCTAATGAGTTGCGCAGCCATAGGTCTTCACAACAGAGAGCGAGCCGAGCGGCGGAACGGCATAACTCCGGGTTCTCGTGAGGTTACGTACACGGCGGCCTGCTCGCGTCGTCCTGTCCTTTAAAGACCTTCAGCTCCCCTCCCCTCTCACTCCCTGTCCTCTGCAAACTCATCCAAAGAAGTTGGTTATTTACATTGAGGGCCGTTGACATGTCTTTTCTGGCCTTTGAGCCTGTGTCCTGGAACGCCCGTCACCTCTGACGCCGGCTAGCTTCGGCTGCAATACCAACAAACCTTGACTTTTGATTTGTGACTTTTGATTTTTGTCAGAGTACGTGTTGTGCGTGTGTTATATACCATCGTTATGTCACCCCATGTCACCGCTGAAGTGTCCCTCTGTGTCTGTCTGCAGGTTTGACCAAGCGAGACAGCCAGCTGACTCCCAGTCAGAAATACCTAGCTATCAGGTATGTGACTCAGGTATGTTTTTAATGCTTCAGATGACGAGTTCACTCAATTAGGCTGAATTAAAAACGCTGATGTGATTTTTGAAGTGCTATTCATGAGCTCAGTCTGAAAAGGAACGATGCTCTTTATTTTAATAAAGACGTTATAGGAGATCACCCCCCACCCTCCCCCGACTCGCCTCTCCCACCCTTTCAGTCTTTCTCTGGTGCTGTCAAGCAGTTTTCAGCCACTCGGTATCTTGGAAACCACAGCTCTCAGGTGACTCGTATTGCGGGAATGCCCGTGCCCTCCATCTATCCTGCTTTACAACTGCAGACTTTTTTCCACCCAGCCGCTGCTATTGGAGAGCGTAATGCAGCTGAGATGCAGCAAAAAAGTGTAGAAGTAGGACTTGCTTAGGGAGATGCGCTGCTGCCATTGTTAATTAACGGGGAGTTGATGTGGGACAACAGAGCAGAGAGCAGGACTGACATCACGATAAGTTTGTTCCTAAAGCACTCATCAAAGCTGAGGAAGTGCTTCATAGGGGCGAAATGAAAGAGAAAACCTAAAACATACGTGTTACATATTAAAATAACCCACACATACACATAAATACACTCACACATGTATCCAAACTGAATAAGGTTGCAAAAAAAACATGTTTCAGGAGCAGCATAAACAGAAACATTTTGACATAATTATTGCAAAAACTGCCACAAAAACAATCAGTGTAGCTTCACTTAAATATAAACCTTTGTTTCACAAACCTTCGCCGGGCGACTGTGAGTCAGCTGCTAACTTTGAGATGGCTACAGGGAAGGAGAGGAATTAGCAGTCGCAACAAGAACTCGTGTTCAGACAGATCTGCTTCACCCTGCAGAGGAAATTCAACGGAGGAAGAGCGGGGGGTCAGTCAAGGTCCTCTGTCTTTTCCTGAGCAGCTCGATAGAAGAGAACTTACCGGTTCCTCAGTGCACAGGTAGCAGCGTTTGGCATCTGGGTTTGTCTGAGCTCTGCATCCAGCTAGAATTTATTTAGTTTGTTCCAAAAAGGTTCTTAGAAAGTTCTGCAAAAAGTTACGTTTGCAGCTTTTTTAGTTCCCAGAATGTTCTCCTTAAAGGTAGGATAACTAACGAGCAAACTAAAGATGATGCCACGCTCTGACATTCTTTAAACTGAATGTATCACTGAAAGCGTTCCTCCTGCGTTATCGTATAACCCTATGGAACATTGCGGGGACGTTCTAAGGATGCGACAGTGTGTTCTACGTCAACGAACCATCTTTAGAACATCGCAGGCAGAATGTTCCACCTTCGTTAACAGATCACATTACAGGGATTTTCTTGTAAAGAACGTTCTAACGTCTATAACATCTTGAAAACGTTTTCCGAATGTTGCGTTGAGAGGAAATGTTTCACAGAAGAACGTTCTACAAAAAAGCAAAAGTTATTAAACATTCTGTCATCTTAATGCTTCAGTAACGTCTACAAAACATTTCATGAATGCTGTTTGGGAACATTCTTCCTTTGTTATCGTGGAACATTGTGAGAATGTTTTATAGAAGAATGTTGATGAAACGTCATCCTCAGAACACAGCAGCGAAACGTTCCACCTTTGTTCATGTATCACGTCACAATCTGAGGCCTCGATAATATCTGGAAAACTTTTTGTAAATGTTTGAAAACGTTCCTCCTTTGTTACCAACTTGTTGTTCTGACAACATCCTCCAAATCTTTAATGAATGTTGCAGCTAAAAGGAACGTTGTTGGAAAAAATAAATGTCCGTTCTTAGCTTAAGAACGCTTAAAACTTTACAAATGTAGTCGTACTTGTGGGTAACGTTAGCCGGTGTTGTGGGTAATGACTGCAGCATATGAAAGCATCTTCTCATTTCCATTTTGCTAACAACCCGCCCTCGTCTCTTCCCCGTCTTCTTAAAGTCGGATGCCCAGTTTGCTAGAGTACCTGAGCTACAACTGTAACTTCATGGGCATCCTGGCAGGACCCACCTGCTCCTACAACGACTACATGGCCTTCATCGAGGGGACGTGCTACCAGCCGCGGCACCAGGAGAACGCCAACGGCAAGGAGAACGGGAAGTACAAGCAGAGCGAACCCTCGCCAAAGGTACGCACACCGATGTGGTGATAGATGGATAGATGGATAGATGGATAGATAGATAGATGGATAGATAGATTGATAGATATATTTACTTTATTGTCATTCAATTAGTACATTAAAAGAAATTAAAATGCACTTAGAACCAAATTACGAGCACGGTGCACAATAAAAAATAAACAGAAATACCTACAAGTGATAAAAGGCAAAGACGGGTACCCGAATAAATAAAATTTGAAACCATTTTAGATTGCACTATGGGCCTAAAAACTAAAAAGAAATAGATATGATCCTGTGTAGTTGTGAGAAACACATTCAATTCCCATTCAACTCAGTTTCTTGTAGCAGAAATCAGTCACGTAATCAGTAAAGTAATAAAAAGAAATATGGTACGTAGACAGGCTTTAGAATAAATACAAATAATGCAGTTTTTACCACATCTCCATTTTCAAAATGTCTTTAAAACCTCAAAGAAGTGGACTCAAATTTGACTTTCTACGTCATTCTCCTGTAAGTGCATGTTGGATAATGTTTGAAGCAGGTTGAAGATGTCCAGTGTAGTTATAGTTTGTTTGGTTCCCTTTACAGAAAAAAAAAACAAATAATGGCGACATTATTAAGAATTGAATGACACCTGTTTTCTAAATATCAAGGTTATTCATGTATTCTTGCTGCATAATGCATCAATAATTTAATTCCACTCCAAAAGCGTGTTTATCGCTCAACACAAAAGAACAGAGTGAAGCACAGATGCTGCTAAATATAAAACATGAAAGAATGCTCAAGGACTCGAGTTAGCCTCAGATCAACTTAACTAGTCTGAAGGGAAAGCATCATATTTCATGTTGAATATAACACAGCGTTGTGGGTTTTAATGGCATCTTTCTGTCACCTCTGCCCAGAACGACGTCATCTCCAAGCTGTGCACATGTGCCGTGTCGCTGGCCATCTATCTGTCGCTGTGCAAGGTGCTGCCGGTGGAGCACTCCATCAACGATGACTTTGTCAGCTCCACGCCCTTCCACCACCAGGTCGTCTACCTGTACCTGGCCATGCTGGCTCTGAGGCCAAAGTACTACTTTGTCTGGACACTTGGTGAGTTTGATGTGACTTTGTGAGCAGACAGCCACACATTTCTTCCCATTTTTTTGTCACCAAGTCCAAGAATAATATGTTTTTATTTCATCGTTTGCAAATGAAAACATTGGATCAGTCTTCTAATGTGTACTGAAAGTAGAGAGAAGCCAACCTGTTGTTGGTGAGGAGAGGAGGCCTTGGATGGTGCAGGCCTTCAAAATTACATATTTGATCTAATGCAGCTCCATCAAATGTGGCTCATCGTCATCAGACTGTGAAAATGAGTGGATTTGGAAACAAAAACTGACGTGAATTCTCAACTGATGAGGTTTTATTCAAACTTGCTGCTCCTTTAAGTCGTATGAACGCACTGAGCTGTTCTGGGTTCAGCCAATTTGATTATTTTTGAAGTAGTCTGTAGTATACTATGTGTGGCTGCAGCCTAAAAAAAAAAAAAAATCCTCTTATTTAACAGCGTCTCCTGATGCAACAGTGCCATCTAGTGGCGAAGTCAGAACTGCAGCTTCTCCTTCTTAACCAACAACAAATGCATGTGACGCTGCATGCCCATCTGTTTCTGTCACCGCTTCACAAACAAACCTATTCTGAGGGCGCCGAGCCCCTCGCTGTTGTTATTGTGCTCTGACACTCTGCTCCTTTCTCCTGCAGCTGATGCTATCAACAACGCCGCCGGCTTTGGCTTCAACGGATACAACATAGACGGCTCCCCACGGTGGGACCTCATATCAAACCTCAGAATTCTGGATATTGAGGTTCGGATCTGTTCATGAGATTCTGTTTTACACTGATAAAGGTGTTTGTCAGTTCAAACCTAAACGTACATTGTTCTGGATTCACTTTCAGTTTGCCACCAGTTTCAAGATGTTCCTAGACAACTGGAATATTCAGACAGCTCTTTGGCTCAAAAGGTAAAAACCTTCAGGCTTTCGTAGTGGGTGAAGGTCTGACTGTGAAGGGTTGTTCAAATGTCTAATATTTTGATATCAGTCGTATTTAATTGAACTTGAAGCGATTAACTTTGTGTATTTATTTCCAAATTGTGGCTGGAAGTCTGGAATACGATTTGTTTTTGCTTCTTTTGACCAAACACTGAATGTGTGCACTGTTTCTCCTCAGGGTTTGCTATGAGCGCTGTCACATCAACCCCACCGCTGCCACCTTCCTGCTGTCGGCCATGTGGCACGGGGTTTACCCCGGCTACTACCTTACCTTCCTCACCGGCATCGCCATGACCATGGCGGCACGTGCAGTGAGTACACACATCTGTACTGTCTACACAGTCCCTACAGCTGGAGAGTAGCTTTTCCCTGCCAAATCCAGCCAAACTAAATACAAATCATGACTATAGGAGCTTGTAAGGTGGCTTGGGGGTTAGCTCTGTCGCCTCGCAACGTCTTCCTGCATGGAGTCTCCATGTTCTCCCCGTGCAGCGTGGGTTCTCTCCGGGTTCTCCGGCTTCCTCCCACAGTCCAGAAACATGCTGAGGTTAATTGGTGATTGTAAATTGTCCGTAGGTGTGAATGTGAGTGTGCTTGGTTGTCTGTCTCTAAGTGTAGCCCTGTGATAGACTGGTTACCTGTCCAGGTGAACCTGCCTTCACCCTGAGTCAGCTGGGATAGACTCCAGCCCCCCATGACCCTGGTGAGGATGAAGCGGTGTATAGATGATGGATGGATGGAGGCACATTTGCATAGAAAGGCTGCTGCAAAAACACATGTATCTGATTTCCACTTCCCTCTAAGTGCACAGAGCTCTTTAGATTCACCACAGCTACTTAACAGACCAACAAACACACAACGACATCACTTCATGGAGAGCAAGTGGATAATGATGAAGTAACGTACCACTACTTCATTTTAAGTGTGAGGCCATTACCACGGATTTCCGCTGAGCCGAACTTCTTCACACTAGTTGTGTAAAAGAAGGAGACAGAAGGATGTTTATGTCGGTGGAGTGATAGTTCAGTAGGAAGGCCCTGTAACTCTGGATAACACACCGGGGCTGTTTAAGTGTCATGCCAGAGGTGTAAACGTGAGTTTCTGTGGAACTTCATCCATCTTTATCTCAAAGAGGACACAGAGATCACTGACCCAGTTACTACTGGCCAGTGCCACATAGACATAGATCTCTCTGAAGGGTGATGGGACAGAAAAAATGGGAGATGTGACGATCACAAGCAGCATCAGCCAGTAATTAATCTACTGTACAGTCAAATAAGAAGAATGTCATTTTAGGTTTACAGCTTATTTCTGTTGAGACTTACAGAACTTGTTCTTCTCTTCCAGATAAGACACAACATCAGACCGTACTTCCTGGTGTCCGACTCGTACAAATGCATCTATGATGTCATCACGTGGGCGTGGACTCAGGTTGCCATTAGTTACACAGTGGTGCCGTTCGTCCTACTCGCCGTAGGACCCTCGCTCAAATTCTACAGGTATGTGTGTTAACGTGAACGCAGCGTCGCACGAGAGAGAATCGCGTCTGCTTTTCTGCGGGTCAATTAGCAGAGCGGCTTGTTATGTGGAATTATTGTAATAATAAGAATGTAAATGAAGTCCCTGCCCTCTGTGTAGAAATTAACGCTGTTTTATTGGCCCGGGTCCCGTCAGGCCGTAACAGTTAACAAGACAGCTTAACGAGCGAAAGGATGGGGAGGATTGATGGGGAGGAAATAAAACGGGCCGCCTCAACATCAGCTGCAGCCATGAAATAAAAAAAGAGCCAATCATCAGCAAGTGGCTGCTAGACAGGCCGCACAACACAGACTCGCTTTGTGGGTGTTTGTTCCTAAAACAAATGAGCGTTTTGACCGAATGACGGCACAAACGTGAAGCCGTTACAGCTCATCCTCAGGGGAGCAGGATTAACGAGCCATGTGGTAAATCTCAAGACACAAAAATGTCGACATCATGGTGATGGTCAAGAGGAATAATCAGGTCACCAAAGGGTTGAATAGGAAGAAGAATATTTGTACAAAACTCTGTGCAATGCTTGAACAACTAATAGACAGTTGTTGGATTATTTTACTCCACTATTTTGGACCTGGAGTGGCTAGAAAGCTGGATAATCTCTTGGATATCTTAGCTTTAGATTCATCTTTGGTCCTGGTGTTTGTTCGGGGAAAAGACTGAACAACTGTGGTGAAAAAATCTATCAATGGAAAATTGGTTCATTTTTCAGTCTTCCTGAAATGGAACAAATAATTCGTATGACTTAAAGGTTTTGAGACATATTTCAATCTTATGTATCTGCAGTTAATATAAACTAATACTGAAGAGTCCTGTGTGAGTTATTTTTGCAGCTTTGGTTCACCTTATGTAGGGTACAGAGACTGTTTAATGAGTTACAATTGAATTTACAATTAATTAAGGCACCGTGCTCTATATTGTATTGTTGTATAACAGGTTGTCATTAGTGATGCACGATATTAAAATTTCTGGCCGATACCAATATCCGATATTAAGGTTTCTGATATCACCAATACCCGATGTTATCGATGTCGATATTCAATTTTTGTTCACGAAAAATGAGTGTAAGTAAGCACTGTGAGAAAACTATTCAGAAGAAGCCGAAATTAGACCACGTCTTTATTATGTAACAAACATATTTAAACATATTTAACATTCAAGTCCATTTAAGTAAAAACATCTGTGAAATAGCAGCAACATCAAACGTAGAGACGAAGGCGCTGATGTCAGACAATCGTCGGCTAAATTTGTTCATCGGACTGATACCGATATATCGGAAAAAAACACTAATATCGGCCGATACCGATGTGGTCACCGATATATCGTGCATCCCTTTTTGTTTTCATTGTTACTATGGGTGCCTATTTAATTTTAACACAAGATTCTCTGATGTTCTGAGCTTCTGTTCCTCATTCATTCTCCAAATGCTTCTTATAATAACAAACTCTATTCGCGGTTGTCGTTGCAGGTGTTGGTACTTCTGCCTACACCTTCTATGTCTGCTGGTGGTGCTGGCCCTACCGGTCAGATCGAGACGCCGAGCGGCCAAAGAGCAGCAGGACAAGCTGCAGAACGACAGCGTGCAGGACAACCAGACAGATCACAGCAACAGCACGGACAACAACTGCAACCAGAAAGACAAGGCCACATGAGGCCGGGGACGAGCGACGCAGCAGCAGCAGCAGAAACACTGAGACGAACTAGAAACCACTGAGAGCTGGAGTGTGTCGAGTCTGTTTACCTGACAACGAACCAAATATCTCCGAGAATCCTATCAGACAGAAAAAACACCAGTCAACATCCTGTCAAAACTTCCAGTAGCAAGGACGACAGCAATCACACTTGTGACGTGGATGAGAGTCCAACACGAAGCAACGGCCACGGTGTAAACTAACGAGCGGTAGTGGTTGCATTAGTGAAAATGAAGATTTCCAAGCTGCCTTAAACCCTCTATGTACTCTGAAGTAACAGTTTGGATGGCACGCTGCAAGAACCCTAAACGCAGTTACCCTGCTGGGGTACGGTGTTAAATATATATATATATATATATATACAGAGAGAGTAGAAGTGCAGTATGTGGAGGGTTTTTGTCATTGTCTGGATACAAGCCTCTGTTAGGTGGGAACAGAACACGTGTACATGTAAAAGAAACATAACCTTTATCATCAGCTGCCAACTTCAAACAGGCCTTAGGATCCTCAAAATATTGTTTGATTTCTATGTCTTTTTTAAAAAAAATCTTTACTCAAGAAGAACTCACACTGTACGTGTTTTGTATTTAGATGTTCGTGACAACACTATTTGAAATCCATTCTTTTTTTTTCTTTTTTGTTCGTCGTCGTTTTCTGGGATGAATCGACCGAGAGAGTCCAAAAGTGGAATTCAGATCTCGTCCGTCTCCGGCAGCGGGCCGTCTAGAAGAGGCGCTCATGACTTACTAAATGGATTTCTGTTTCTTTTTTGTATTCGTCATATCTGCTGCTCTTTTGACAAACATGACTCATCAGATAAACGTGTGTTTCAAAGGGAGTTTATTTACCCTCTCGTGATTTACAATATGGGTTTTTTTTAGGAGTTCAGAGGTGTGATTTTTTTTTAATTTTATGTTTTTTTTTGTTAATCTACTCAGATTCTTTTTACACAACAGGTTTCCTCTATGTCCAAATGTATTGCTTCTGAAATACAAACCCAACCCAAAAGGATGAATATTTGAAGTATTAAAGTCTAAAAATCCTCAAAATGCACCTGAAATCTAATCAGATTGACTTCATTGTCAAACACTTTTGGAGCCATAAACGTTAAACTGAATGTTCAAGACTTACGCGGTGCATAAATGGCACGTATTCGCAAATTCGGGCTGCAGAAATATCTAAGTTTTGCATTTGTCCGTGAGGAAATCTGAGGCGGTTATTTATGTATGTGACATAATAAAACTGTACAAAACTCAAAGACATAGACCAGCTGTTGTGGTAAATGGTCTTATTTCATATTGTGTGCACTTAATGTTAGACTAGGAGATGTTTCAGGGTGCATTTACTGTATGGTGTAAGAGACACTGGTTCCTTATGTTGTTCTGGTCCACGGCTCACCTCAAGCCTTTCGATTCATCCGGTTTCCTCCTCACACTAGAGCTCAAACAGCCATCCCCGTGGTATTTATTTTTTGGTTTCATTAGATGGAATTGGCGTAAATGTGGTGCAGAAAGGGCAACATAAAATAATCCAACGACACACCATTATGGTGGCATTTTAAAGTTGTGCTTTTTTTTTTTTTTTTTTTACCTTCTAAAAATCTGTCAGTAATTTGAGTTGAATTGGTGCATTTGTGTTAATGTAAAGAAATAACAAAGCAGCAGCGGTGAGCTCTGACGTGTGGACCTCTTTTCTTTTTAAGACTTTCTAACATTTGCATATTCCTGCCATAACTGTGTGTGTGTGTGCGTGTGTGTGTGTGTGTGTGTGTGTACCAGTATTCATGTAATCCGTACATGTCGATGTGATCTCGAGTTATATTTGTAGCCTGGGCCCCGTGTAGGCGAGCGCGGCCCGTCCGAAGAAAAAGGGATGTCATTCTACAAACATAGCGATTCTTGCACTGCATGGCCACCCAAACCAGCAGATCAATGCAAACTGCTCCATATGTCCAAAGTGCCAAATCACGGATGGCGCATTTTGTTTTTGTGTGTATGTGTGTGTGCATGTGTGCCTGCGTGTGTGTGTGTGCGTGTGCGTGTGTGTGTGTGTGTGTTAGTGTGTGAGCGCGCGCCTGTGTAACATAATGGTTATTTTTGTGTCAGAAGGAAATTTATTGAAAGATTTGTATAACAGTACATTAAAATTCTGATTTATGTGGCAAAAATAAAGAGAAATTATTTTTAAACACTAAAATCATGTTTGACGATAAATTATTTCTTTTTTTTTGTTGAGTAAAAAAAGTGTTTGTGTTGCCTGAACATCCCCACTGACACACCATATCCCTGTGTTGTTATGGTGTCGTTGCATTATTACAGCTACAGTACAAAGCTACAGTAAAATACATTAAAATAAATGCAGTCCACATAGTGACATCTGCACTGGCGTTATTGCAGTAGGGCTTACATTTGGGGACATTTAACATCTATCAATAGGATTATTGCAGATGTATATACAGTCATCCTGAGATTTATTCATAGACTTCCATTAAAGAAAAGGCAAAATTCACAAAAGTCACTGAAATAACTAGAAACTGACAAAAGTAATAATAAATAAAAATTTGTTAAATTATAATTTAGTGAAATAAGACATTGCTTTTGAATTGTGGTTGAAAAGAATAATTTAAAAAAATAAATACAAATCTGTCCCGGTGAAATTAGAGCAAATTAGTATAAACAGTATTGATAGTATAAACTGTATGAACAGTATGTCAGACAGCTGTCATTTCTTATTATACATTATGTGAAAGCAGCTTCCTAAAACTCATTTAAGCAACGTTATATAAGTTGTTATGCAGCTTGTTTGTTTTTTTTTTACTAAAAAAAAACATAATACTATTAAAAGTTTTTAAACTCTGACTCTGTAAAGTAACTGAAGCAGCAGCGGAGTTAAAACACAGTGTGGCCTGTTGCTGCTAAAGTGAAGTATGTGTACTGATGAGTTGTCAGTATGTGAGTGTTTATCTTTCACCGTTGGTGAAATTA